CGCTCATAAACAAACAACAAACAAATTACTTTAAGTGTCTTGCAAGCTGCCTGGCTGGCAGCTTGTTGGATGGTCGTACACCTTGATGGAATGGAAGTTAAAGAGGCTTTACGGATTTTTTCACATATCATCATAGCATGACACGTCCATTTTTTTACAGCGTTTCATCCAATACCTGCCTGAAAGTGGATCTTTATCCTACGGTAACGTGACTGTTGACCTGCGGGACACAACGAAAATCGGTGAACTGGTTTCTCATCATCTTAGCGTTACTTACAACTCGGTAGGAGACTTCTTTAATTCGATGTCGGTCAGAGATGCTATGCATTTTAATGACTGAGCAAATTGCAGTCCAGATAATCTTACAGATGATTGGTTTTTTGATTGAACTTTCCCTTTTTTCAGACAACTGTTCAGGTTCAGCACATACAAATGCCCAACTGGAAGGATAAATGTTGCCCTACGAATTCACAAAGTGTGTTGAATTTACTGAATGAAGTACAGCAGTCACAAAGACATGCGCAGACCAGTCATTCACCAATAGTAGTCCAATGCAGGTTGGTGGTTTAGTGGGAGTTACTATCCAATGAAACGATGGGCCGGAAGAAATAATGAATTGATGAATTAAATCATATTTAACTAAAGGAAAGATGGAGTTAAAGTAAACATATTGTCTTGCACTAGTCATCGAGGTATCAAAGTTTGAAGAGCTGACGTCAGTGTCTTCTAGGAGGAAAAAGGGGGGCGTTATTTCAATGAATATCATTAATTCTCAAAAACACACAATGCTTAAATCACATAACTTCGTGTTTGCTTCATGTAAATGTGCTTCTTGTTTGTTCTAGTAATGGTGTTGGTCGAAGTGGTACATTTTGCGCCATATACTCGATCATCGAACGAGTGAAGCAAGAACAGATTGTTGACGTCTTTCATGCTGTAAAAGACATTCGCAGGAATCGACCTCGAGCAGTTGTGACACTGGTAAGCTGGATGTATTACCATACATTGCCAATATAATAAGGATGAAGCAAGATTATTGAGAGACTAGCTCGTTCCGCTTATGAAGTAGAACATGCACTACAACCGGCTCTCTACTCAATGTAACTCGCGTTTAATTTGAGATGAGGTAGAAGGCTAGTGACATTATTTYAATACCAATAGATAAACATTTTGAAACAAACAGGCTTGGTAGCTAAACTCATGGCTCTCTTGCCCCACACTTGGATTGACCAATAAGCTACATGATGTTCCTARGAACAGCTATCAATAATTATTTTCCTTCTGTTTCTTTGACAGGACCAGTACGTCTACTGTTACAAAATAMTTCAAGATTACCTGGACTCTTTCAGCGACTATGCAAACTTTACTAAATAAACACATTYTTAATAGTTTGGTAAAAAGTAAAACATAATATTGAGATTTAACATTTTTAGTATAAATTAAATTCCAGATCCAGTAAGAATAAATAAAAGTGATCATAAAGCATTTGCCTTCAAATTGAGGACTGGATTCTAATACCGTTAGAAGCCCCGCAAAAAATATCCATTAAGCAGTTTTAAAAATCGATCTCTTTWACGCGGTGTTAGCCWCAATTGTGTGAAAAATATTCAGAAAMTTAAATAAAACTCGTGAAATTTCAAACTATTTTCATTGTTATCTATACTCTTTTACTTGCACGGGCTGTTAGTAAAGAAACGAATTCATTACATGGTTYTGAAGCTGACAGAGCGTGAAACAGATTACAAAAAGGGTCTAGATCTATTCTGGCTACAAACCTGTGTCGTCGTATCACGAAGTAACGTTACCCGGGTCAATTGGACCGAGARACAGCCTGTCACAGGCATAAGGCCCTGTTTGTTTACATGGATGCAAACACCTTATGGATGAAAACCACAGCCAAGATATCATAACGAAAAAAGACTTCTGCACTAGCTGCTTAAAGGGTTGTTTTGTTCTTTGCAAAGGTTAGCGATCGTTCTAGACAGGCGTTCCTAGCCGCGATTCTCCGGCCCAAACTCTCTCGGAGCAATTAGGACCGCCTGGCTACGCAGGCTAGGATCGTTCTTGATGTTTACCCTTCTCACAGGGTGACCCCTGCTTGTCAAATTAAAGGAGGACTATGTTTTGACTCTTTTAGTAGGGACCCCTCCAAGTAGAGTGATCTTCAACCTTTTTACGTGGGCTTCCTGTGGAAGCACACGTCTTAAAATGCAACTGGGTTTTCGTC